TTTTTTTTTTTTTTTTTTGTATGTATATTTGTTAAAAGTTTTCTTTCTTCTCAGAACTGTACATACTTCTTTTTTCCAATGTAGCTTCTTCTTTTTTTTCTACTATCAACCATCGTTGTTGCCATTTGCTATTAATGGTACTGTTGACAAAGACAACAACAACACGAATATTGGTGACAATAATTAATGGTGATCAATGTTAATAATCAGAAGACAGTTTATCAAAAAAAAAAATTTTTGCTTTTCGCTTTTCTTTTACTTTAACTTTCAATTAAACTTTAACAATTATTTCTGCTTATAATTTTTACACTTATTCGGTACCATCCAAGATAATTTATTTTCATGTCTTTTCCACTTTTACTGTTTTATTTTTTTCTTTACTATATCCAAAATTATTAAACTTATAAGAGAAATACAAAAAAAAAAAAGGAGTATAATATAATATTACTAAAAGCAAATAACAAAACAAACGATGAGAATATTTAAACGATTAGTAGCAGCAGTAAAAATTTTAAAAGAAAACCAAAAACTGTTTTCTATTTTAAACGTTAGAAAATAAAGAATAATTTAATGTTAAAATGAAAAAAAAAACAGCAAGAATAATAATAATAAAAATATTAAACAGTGTTTTATCAAAAAACATATATTTACGCTATTCTTTTTAGCTTTTTTCATATATTTTTAAAAAGGAAAATTTTTTTTCATTTTTTTTTTTTTTTCATTTGTGTTGCTATTTTCTTTGTTTTTCTTTTTTTTTTCTTTTGTTTCAGAATACTTCAAAACTGTAGAAGAGAGTAACAGAAAATTGTTCTATGCAGTTATGCTTATTTGTTGTGCTTAGAAGAGTTGTTGTCAGTGATTAATACTTTAAACTATGGTTTAGTTAAAACAGAAGTCAAGAAGAAGACGAAAATAAAAAAACAAAAAACAAGGAAACAGATATCGCCAATTGTTTTTGTTGTTTTTGTTTCGTTGTACAGTACACAGACACAGATACAGACATAAAAACTGTACTTCTTATTTGCTTTCAAAATAGCATTTAGGTTTCTTTTTGTTTTTTTT